TTGCTCTTCTAAATCCTCATTATCATTTTTACTGTTTTGAGGTGGAATGATATAGGCTTCTGTAAGGGAAGTTTCCCTTTGAAACCAGTGTTCTTTTCTGGTGGACTTGTGGTGCTTGAGAACTAACTTGTCTTCCTTTTGACTTACCCCTTATTTCTCCTTACCTTGAAAACCTGGATGAGTTGTCAGGGGCGTTTCTCTTGCACCTGTTTCTGATTGAAATCATTAATGCTTAATGAGACCAGGATTTGCATTAGCTTTCTGTGCCACAGTGTAGTGCAGCTCCGGAACGGAGAAAGGCATTTGTTATGATGCCTCCTGCTGTAAGACACTCAAAAAGAGAACAAAATATTCAAATGCTGTTAATGCTGTAAAAATAGCCTGGGATGGTATCATCGTGTTCAGTTCAAATGTGATCATTGACGGTACTTCCATGTTCTGTTTTCCCTCCATCGATCCTTCTGCAACAGTGTCGTAGCCAAGTCGGAGCAAACGTTTCAGCGTGACCGTTCTCTGCACTGAGGCCACGCAGCATTTTTCTACTTCAGCTGTAGGGAAGAAACCATCTAGATGTCTAAATTGAATCGTCCTTTTCAAAATGAAGCTGTTAGGTCCCAGGTTAAATCAGCACCTTATTTGTCACCCTAAATTAGTTGGTAATTATTAGAGGTCCAAGAATGTGTATTTTGAGGCAGCATGACTGTTAATGACTAATGTCTGTTGAACAGGGCAGTGGTTTTTAAGCACTACCAAGGTATAGCTGTTTAAACAGAAAATGATTAGCTAGTACTGCTTAGCCTGAGTACCTGACTGGAAACCTGGGATTTTTCACCTCTAATGGTGTGGCTATGGATTGCCATGATTATATAACACCATTAATGAAACGAACAAGAGTGAAAGTGCAGTGAATAAACACAACATTACAGGTGATTGGAGTTGTTTCCAAAACATTAGGATATCCCACAGTTTTGCAATCTTAGGAATTAGTTGTGGTGGAACTAGACGTGCTGCTTACAGCAGGTCACCGGTTGCTTTTGACACAGGCCACAGGGAGGGTGGCCGGTCGGAGGAGCACGCGACATGGGATGCTCTCACCTCCAAGAACCCAATTCCCATTCCCATGTGCTAGTTGTTGCTTCGTGTGACTTGGCCAGTTTGGGGTGGGGAGGCTGTGCTTGGCGTGAGGATTTACTGTTGCACTTCAGTAGTTGATTTCTGGTAATAAGGCTGTGGTTTATGTGGTGATCACTCTTGTTCCACAGCTCTAGGCTTTGTACTTCTTGTACTTTCCTAGATTGTTTTCCAAGTGGGGAGGCAGACATTCAGCAAGCCCTTGCAGCCTTGGTGTTCTTAAAATATCTAGAAAGCTTTATCTAATATGTATGGATGATTTATTTATCCTTAGTTTTGTAAGGCGTGAAGGAAAAAAAATCTGTTCAGGAAGTTTAAGATATACATGCAGCTTTTGCTGAAAGAGAAATAAATGTTTCTGTCGCAAAACATATGTTTGGATTGCTCAAAATAAACCTGCAAAATAATTGAGCTGTGTATGTAAGCCATTATCAGCTGCTTTTTTTTTTTTTTCCTTTTTAGTAGAAAACAGCTTGCAGAAGCTGTGAGAAAGCTGTCCCATCTTGGGTGACTTACTTTGTTTCTTATTCTTGACTCTTTTCCCCTCTTCCAGTCCTAGTTGAAACAGGAAGTCCTTAGCTCATCAAAAGATCAAGCATGAGCATCTGCATGTAAAAAGCTGGTTATGCAGCAAGCTGGTGGGGAGCCAGATTGTGTGCTAGTTATTGGATGTCTGCTTTGCTGAAAGGCTCCCTCGCTTGAATGTTCTCATGTCTCTCTGAGATCAGGTGCGGGTTGTTCCTAGTGCTGCGTAAAAGCTTGGAGGAAGGGTCTCAAAATGGAGCAGGCAAATAAGTACTGAAGTCTACAGGGGCTTGCCAATTGGTAAATAAGTTGGTTGCTTCATAAGTCAGTAAGTACTGTAATCAGGAGAAACTGATCACAACCTTGACTAAATGTAGAGATAGACCCACGCGCACATAAAGTGTTCTTACTGATAAGAAACTGTCATCTTATTAGTGTCTTAAGAGATAACAAATTAGATATCTGAAAAATACCTAGGTAACTACCTGTTGAAAGTTAGTAGGACTAATCAAGGACTTGGCTGTTAAGAATGATTACCAGAAAATGAGTTTGTTGGGAAATAGCAAAACATTAAGAAAAATGTAAATTAAATCATAGGGTTTCACCACATGTTTGTTTGGAGTGGAAGAAAGGCAATTGAACCCAAGATGTTATGTGAGTTATTTATGCTGAATATATTTAAGAGTATCAATACTGCAAGTCAAGTTATTTATAAAGTATTGAGATAGCCTATATTAATCTGATTATCTCTGTTTGTGGAGTAGTTTCAGAAAAGTACAGAAAAAGAACGTAGAGCCTCCTGCTGACAAGAGGGAATGGGCCGAGTTTGGCTTATGAGCGAGGATTGTGAAGATGTTGGTGCCCTTCTCCCTGTGCTCTGCAGCAGTGAATGAGGAGGGCTGTGTAAGCTGGACCAGCTTTGGCAAGAGAAGGAACTGCTGTAATCAGTTCCCACATAAGTGTGGGATTCTAATAGGGAATAAAGATCTAAACAGCAGGATTAGAACACAATTTCTGTAAGAGCAGAGGGTTAAAAATTCAACTGACTTATGCAGAGGTTGCTTAAATATGAAACGGCAGTGTTAACGTTTCCCCATATTAAAAGGGAAAATGAATACTTAAGACCCAGGTGTTCCTTTCCATTCTTCCTTCCTTGGATTTTTTTTCCATGTGGAGCAAGTAGTGCTCTGATAAATTTTTCTCCCCTGCTTAGTGTCAAGCACAGAACTGAGGAGGGGGAGTGGGAAAAGCCTGTTTAATTCTGAATGAAACCTGCCTTGTGGGGAGAGCTCTGTGGGTTTCTGCTGCTCACAGCCCTGGCTTTGGAAGTAGGTGAAGTGCCCCGTGGAGTGTGTCGGCACGAACCTTCCCCCAGATAGAGCAGCTGCCGCCGCCGCGCATCGCGTTACCCCGTTGGGCAATGGCAGATCCGCCTGCTCGCGGAGCTGAGGTTGGAGTAATGGAGATTTTTATCTCTAGATTGTTATCACTAAGTCATTGGTGCAGTCTATTAACATAAAGAAAATTAGTTTTCCTAAGAAGATAAGCGGAGTCTTTGCTGTTGATTTATGCCAGGCTCTTAAAAGTCAGTGATTCATCTTGAGGCTTCCCACATCAGTTCTGTGAAGCCTAAAACTTGGTTTTTGTTTAACGATTTACTGTAGTGCAGCAATATAGCAGGGTAGTGTTATTTGCCCCACACTAATAGATTTGATTGAGCCAATAGGGACTTTGCTAACCCTCTTTGCAGAAGGAGAAATCAACTTGTAACAGCCTCATCACAAGGTTTTAGCCAGGGAGAATTGCACTTTTTTTTTCCACTGTCAAATCATTTCTGCAATACCTCCAGTGTCTCTATCTTCTGTAATAAAAATTGTTAAAATAATTATCGTAGTCTAAGGTGTGTGTTCCTCTCCCCCCC